TAAGTTTAAATTTTAAAGCTTATAAACTACCATTCTGATTAAGTTTGTAACAGTATACATCTGTGACTATTTTAAATAAATGCTGTTCTTCTTTTGAATCCTGAAATTCTGAAAAATGTATCATGTTTTCACAAAAAATGTTAAGCAGCACAACTGTTTTCAACATTGATAATGTTTCTTGAGCAGCAAATCAGCACTGAATGATTTCTGAATGATCATGTGACACTGAAGACTTGGTTAATAATAAATTACATTTTAAATATATCAAAATAGAAAACAGTTATTGGTTAATTAAATGGTAATATTTCACAGTATTACTGTTCTACTGTGTTTTTGATCAAATACATTTTCCATGACAGATGATTAGGTCTCTTTGAAAACACAAATTGTTTTATAGACAGCAAACCCTCAGTTGTTTGAGTACTATTTTTCTTTTTCTCAGTAGTGGTCCTCAAAAGACAAGACACGTCCAGCACTGTTTACAAGTAGCCCGAGGAGCAATAAATTGAGTTAATCTTAATTCATCATGGAGCGCTACCTCAGTAGAATAGGCAAACTGTAATAACTGCTGATATATGGCTGCCCTGTGGGTCAAAAAAGCTATTTCAATTAGTAATGTAAGGTCTTTTATATGCACTTTTTTTTTTGCCCAGAGGCTCTTATTAAACTTTCTTTTACAAGGGAGCTCACAGTGGAAATTATTGTTGATGACAAAGGGTTTGGGCTTGTCAGGGTACTGCAGACTCACTATTTAACCCTGCGTGGACTCTTTTGGCCAGGGGCAGTGGCAGCCATTATCTACTCTGGTCTTCACCATTATAAGCCTAATTTAGATACACTGTCCTAACATTGCCTTAACACATTTTGCCTTAATGCTGACCTTTATGAATCATAATATTTTAATGAACAGTAACAAACAGCTGTGTGCCCACCACTCGCACATTCTACTGCTCAGTATAGGCCTATTTTATATAAGTACGTTAAAATGTTAAGGTGTCCATTATTAGTTATTCATTAGTTTCACATCAATTATCATTAGTTATTTGTAGTTACTAGAATGTTAATATTGTGTTGCCGATTTGTTCCTGTGTTATTTGATTATTCATAGATGATGTAAGAACAGTATTCTAAATTTTGACCAAAAATGTCCTTAACTTGTTTGTAACTAAATTGTTACTAAATAATATATTTAGCTTATTGGTCTTCTGTCATTAGATTGTCATGATATCTAACATAAAAATAGGAGTTTATGAATGTGTTTGACTGCATTATCTCCCATTAAGGTTATTTAACGTCTCCTGACCTCAGTCTGTGATTTTCATTGGCAACACAATTTTGGACAACAGAATGTACTACAGACTAAGACAGTCGGCACCAGCCCATGCTGTTTATAGCATCATCTCAATAGCTCTCTCCACCTGTCAGGGTAGAATGGATTGCTTTGTGTGAAACAGAGAGCTTGTAAAAATAAATAAATACATAAATCTCAAGCGAAGAAGCAGGAGGTTGATGTGACACAAGGGCCTGAGATGCCATGTGAACCCTTAGTCCTCAAATTGAGCAAAACTTAATATCCCATTACCCCATTTCCTCCCCTCTCCTGATTTCTCTCTCAGTAGTGCTGGTTAATAATTCACACTGTGGGCTATTGCATTTCCACAATCGGAGACTCTGCTAAAATACCAAAGCTATTGTCCCTGAGCTGATTACATTCGCTCAAAATTTTTGATACACGCCAAAAAAAGTGCTTCATTAAAGTGCAGCTCAGGACTTTGAAAATGTTGCATACTACTAAACGTTATTTGTTTTTAATAGTTGTTAGGGAACTTGCTCTGAGGTGTAAAGTCAATGTACTTTAGCTCTACTTTCTATTTTGACGATGTAATAAAGATTGATTATTCCTAACACATGGTGCTGTTACAGCCTTGCAATTCATCATGTATTTTGTAAAAAAGTCTAATTATCCTTCAGTGCTTGATGTGCCATCAATCCAGAATGAATGACTGGACCTTCTGAATGTTTTTTTAAGAAAAAAAAAAACAAAGTGCCAGAAAAACTGATTTAATGTTTGACAGTTATATATTTTGAATATTAAAGATTTTCTCTAAAGTTTTCATGACAGATGTTTTTTATATGTTCTTTTAAAAAAAATGTTTATGAAAGTTAATATTTGTAAAATGCATCACTTTTCTAATTAAACACGGTCCAATTTAGTGTTAATGTGACAGCAGGAAACAAAAACAAATTACAAACAACAAATTCTGTGCTGGACAGAATTTGTTTTGTGCTTTGAATTATTGGCTGCCCGCAGCATGAAACTATTGAATTTTAAGTGACAATTAAAAACCAAAATTATTCCTATTCAGATTTGAGAAATTTACATTTGTGTAGTGAGTTGCTGCTCATTTAATGTAAAATCTGGGACCTGAAGCAAAACCAACTGAAAAGCACTGGCCTAATCTACCTGATCCTGTTGTGTTATTTTTGGCCACTAGAGTGCTGCAGAAAGCCATTCTTACTAGTGTAATACATGATGCAACGGAATAAATGATGCCAAGCTGTTAAGTGTAACTATGCTCTAGTTGTTTTTTCTTGACCAGATGCCTCATAAGTTCAATATAGCTGCAATTTATTTATTTCTAAAGTGGCTGGTATGAATACAAATATGGTAAAGGAACTGACTGATGGTGTGATGTTGGATAACTGTGGAACAAATACCATAATATCACCATAAATAGTCATCAACTGATTTTTTTCTTTCACCAATATGAAAATAAAAACTTATATATCAATCAGGCAGATATTTTGTAAAAATGAGAACACAAAAGCCACAAATTAGGCTAAGTGAGAGACTTTTGATGAATCGCAATCTTTTGATGAAGCAATAAAACTATTTTTCATCTTGTAGAGCTGAGACAAAAGAAGCGTATAGCAACTGATAGCTTTTGCCTTTCAGAAGGATTTCATTATGTTGAGTGGTGAGTGATGTTTAGAAGGTGTTGATCCTCCACAAACCCTTATTTATTTTTCCTTAATCCCTTCCCATTCACCACCCTCAGAAATCAATATAGAAACTCCAAATCCATTTGATTATCCTATTGCCAAACTGATTCCGACCAGAGTGTTAAAGCGTAAAATACAACATGGACCTTTCAGCTAAACCTGAATCGGCAGTCACTCAGGAAATAAATTAAGATGTTCTAAAGTAAGAACCCAGAGCATCTGCAAGTATTTTTGTCATTTTAAATTAAAGTGATGGTTAGAAATGTACTGAAGTTAGTATTACTTGTCAGAAATAAAATATGTGAATCAATATTTTAATATTGTGGACTTTTTTTTCTAGTTTTGTTTTTCTTTTTGTTGAAATTCTATTAAACATTTAATGCAAACCAGCTTTATATACTGTAGATAGCTTGCATGGCTTGTTTTGTGACATATTACACTTTATAAAATATTTGCATACTGTATATAAAAAGGTTTTATCAAATGCAGTACCATGCTTTCTATTTTTGTATGCTCTTGTTTTCATAACCCTTTTTTTATATTATGGAATATTCTGGATAAAACAGTATTCACATGAGACTTTTTGATGTTTTACTTTTTGATTACTTGTGCCAAATGGTTTTTCATTTGTAGCATTACCATGCAACACTCTGTCTGTGTGGACCAGTATTCTGTAATTATGTTCATAGTTCACAGGCAGACAGTAAATATGACACTTGGGGTGCAGATGTTTGCCAACAGCACTGTAATCCATTCAGTTATTAATTAGGCAAGCTGGTCCTGTCCCTCTTCCTCCTTTCACTGCCTCTCTCTCTCTCTGTCTTCTCTCCCCTTCTCCTCTGTGGCTATCTTTCCTTCCCTCTCATATGTTAGCTTAGCTGCTTGGCTAAGTGTTAGTGTGTGTGTTTGCACTATCTGTGACTGTCTGTCACAACAGCTTAATCCATCTTGGCAAACTGAGGCAAATGGGAAATCCACTGATTAGTATTCATGGCCGTTACCAAATTTCCCTTCCAACTCCGCTGTCTGTAGTGGAAAACTTATGTTTGTCCTGAATATCTGTTATTGCACCGTTCCAATTAACAAAATAATTTTTAATTATTTTTAATTATTTTCACTGTTGTTTCCAGCTATAAAGTCCTCTATCCATAATATTGCTTTCTCCGGTGAAAAAATTATCTTGTTTGAATCAGGAGAGAAATATGCACAGAACAAGCAAAAACAGTTGAAAATATTTCCAAACAAAGATGTCGGTGGATTTTGATGTGAGAGGACAACAGGGGATGGACTTTTTCACTGGAGGAAGTGCTATTGTGGATTGTGGACTTGTAGGTTGATATTTTGGCCAGAAGCGATGGTTTAAAGTTAAAATGCCTTCATGATCTATTTGTTTTTTACAAAATATACAGCTTTTCACTTTACAAGGCATTAACCGATGGACTGGAGTTGTGTGAGTTACTTTTGGATTATTGTGATGTTTTTATCAAGCTGTTTGAACTCTCAATCTGACGGCACCCATTCACTGCATGCAGATGATCCACTGGTGAGCAAGTGATGTAATGCTAAATTTCTCCAAATCTTTTCCAATGGAACAAACTCATCTATATCTTGGATGATCTGACGGTAATTAAAAAAATTCAGAAACTTCTCCTATTCGGGTTAACTATTCTTTTAAAGCATATGAAGATAAGAATGTCCAATTATACCTGCTTTATAATATTGTTACAACAATGCATTTGTTGTCTGATGTCTTTTCAAAGCAAATGTGCAAAGGAAATCCAAGGTTACTTGTCAGAGAGTGCAAAACCATAGATTTGCATAGAAGATTAGTTGTTCAGAACCATGGACAGGGGTCACAGATCAGCAGTGGGATCTCAGAATGTCCCCTGTTCAGTCCTATAGACAATATCTGACATTTGCATGCAGTTTGCTCTCTGCCATGACCAATCCAGATATAGATGGGCGGAGTGAGAGTACAGATTCGGAGTCTGAGGTGGGAGGTTTTACATGAGAGACTCGAGGAGATGGGTACACTGCATTGATATCTTCCACGTTGTGCGCGAAAACCACACGATCCCTCCCCGATATTACGCAGTCTATTTAAACGCAACATCCACACACCCATTCCATCACTTACCACTTTGGTCGTCTCACCTGCACTCGCGGTGTTCAGGAGAGGAATCCAGTGATGGATCAGGACAAGTACCTGCCAGATCTCATTGCCGAGAAGGAGAGCTTGGACCCGTCGTTCGTCCACGCGATGCGCCTTCTCGCTGAAGGTAAACTACGATTTTTTCTGCCATCATTTTTAGGCTCGTATCTGTTTGGTGTGGCGTCGCTGCTGTAGGCTACATTGTTTGTGCCGTTATCGCGAATACAATATTCATTAATCATGTTTAATTCAGATAAATGGATATCTGTTCTTGAAGCATGTAAGAATGAATCATGCGTGTCAGGTGTTATCATTTAGGCTATTATTATTTCAGGTGATCATTTAGTAAAATGAGGGAATTGTTCACAGGCGGGCTTGGTCTTTATAAATAATTTTTGTAGCTATGTAAAGTTGTCTTTTCCAGTTATTGGGACTGTGCACAACTTCGTTTTCATACAGCGTTCAAGTGAGCTTTCAGTCAACACATATGTTACCAGTGAACGGAATAAAAAAAAAAAATTAGAAGCAGCATAAACGACAATAAAATATTTGGCGGCTGTTCATCAGTTCTTCCGAAAAAGTTCGCGTGCTTCAACGACGTCGCTTACTATAATCACAGAAATGATTTCGAGTTGGGCTACTGGATCGGGCAATACGGCAAACGCATTCATATACTGAAACCTATGTAGCCTATTCATAATAATGATTCTTTATGCATTTGATCTAATAAATTCAAATTATACATTTATCTCTCATTCTGTTTCATTTAATAACCAGTATGATAATTATATCATAACTTAAAGGGAAGTTAGGTATTTCAAAGCAGTTTCGGCTTTTTCTAAAGAAATAAAATGTAAAATCATTAAATATAAAAGTAATTTCATTGCATAATCTCTCTATGTTCTCATCGCGAACTCATTGATTTAGTACCGCATAGTCAGCTAGACGTCACTTATCTAAAATACTATTTAATTTTGTGATATAGGTTATTTATCATATAGCTACAAGTCATGCACTTGCCTTATACGCACAGCACAAATCTGATCGCAATGGGAAACTGGCGAGCAGCTTTCTGTTGTTATGGTTACCTACTTTTGTCTACGAATTTTTATTTATTTTTAAATGTATTTAAGGTCTGTCAATAGATTAACATTTTTAATCTAATTAATCACACCCTTTTTCTGTGATTAATCGCACACTTCATGAAATTAAGCATAGACCATATACCTTGTTTCAAATGTTTTTGTCATCATTTGCTATATCCAGCAATGTAAACCAAAAGATTGAAGGGTGATTCTCAAAAATCTGTATTTTCTGCAAGCTTTTTTCAAGATAAATTTAGATGTCTTTCCAAAAAAGGACTCCAAAAGAACTCCAAAAGGAAACTCCAAAGAACCAAATGATGTAAGGAGCCCATATAAACACATATGAAAGAAAAAAATGCCAAAAAATAAAAATCTGAATTTTATAGTATGTGTACAGTGCAACAGCAAAGAGCTTTTTTACATTTTAGAGAAGTCAAGTTGCGATACCGAACAGGACCACATGGTGATGCTAAAAAACCCTAAACCATCCGCCTGCTGACTGCTGCTGCATATATCTACTACAGTACACGGATCCATTCAGAATAACTAAACACAGCAACATAAACATGACAAATCAAAACATTATCGTGAATGTGTGTGGAAACAACGTGAATGTACGGAAATGTCTGTGCCTGTGTATAAATACAATGTGCGATCAGTGCGTCAAGAGCTTTCATACACGCATTATTATTACGTACTCACGCGTGCTTACTGTACGACACCTGTACGCCACCGCGATCGTCTTTACCTTGATTGCAGTCTTCATCCATCAAAACTTTACTAACGAGACTGGTTATCCAGTCGAGAAAACATAGTTTGCTTGTGTTGTGTTGACAATCCGTTCAGTCTGTACTTCAAACAGCGCGACGTGTGAGGGCTCGCGCTCTTCAGAGACAATCACCGAATATGACAGAGCTCGTGTTTAAAAGCAAAACACACTGGAATTAATAATTCACTGAAAATGCAATGTGAGTCTCTGTTCTCTCTGCAATCTCTGATGTAATCAGCCTGGTTTCCTTTATATTAGCAATGTTTTGGACGGATTGTTTGAATGCATTCACTTTCTGGATCATTGGACTGAAAACTTTCCTGGAGTTTAGTGGCTTAAAATTATCTGATCGCAAACAGAGAAGCAAAATCGGGTTAAAAGTTTAGAATAGAAATTGTGCTTCAGTAATTTTGCGTTAAATTATTTTAACGAGTTAAGGATTGTAAAATTAATCGCATGCGTTAACATGTTAACGTTGACAGCCCTAATTTATTTATTTATTTTTGAAGTATTTGGCCAGCTGTGACTAATTTTAATCAAAATTTGATCACTAAAAACCATGTTTTGCCATATGAACTTCTATGAAAAATAATAACTTACAGGCTATAGCCTTGATTTGCTGCTATATCTCTATTGATTTATTGTTCAGCACAGAGAGCCTAAATATTTCATTGCCTACCCAGTATTAATTTGTTTGAGGTCATAAGGACAACCTAACATGGTAGCATTACATATGATCTGAAGTTATTATAGTTGGCATAAGATAAAAGCAGTCCTTGACAACTCATCAGATAGTAAGCAGAGTAATTAAGAGGCAATTACGGCTATTACAAAGTACTCACACTGGCTCAGATTAGCTCAAGTGCAGGGGAGCACAGTGGAGTGTGTGCTGTTGAATAAGCATGCATATAATTAAATGACAACAGTTGTAACTGGTCCAGGTTATCAGGAAATTGTAAACAGTAAACATATTTTTAATTGTAAATAATGCACAACATTAATTTACATGAAAACATAAGTCACTATTAATGCTGCTTCAGTTTGTTTTATAGAAGTGTTCTGAATGCCTGCATCTGGTTGCATACAGCCCATGTCATCTCATGTGCTGGATTTATTCATGAAGGTTAGATTCATTTTCACATGATAGAAGCAAACAAACAAACAAAAAACGTTCCGCAAGCTCATGGCAAATATAACATTTTTAAAGTGTTTTTATGTAAACAGGCCAGTATTTCCATCTGAAAGAACAGGAAACCCAAAAGGCTGAGCTGATGATTCAGGTTCTGAAGAATTGGGTCCTAAAACTGTGCTGTGCTTTTTCAAAAGAGAAAGTGTTACCGAGGTTTTCTGTAGGTAACAAATGTGTCTGGTAAAAAACTCTTTAGGTGCCCCAAAATAATTTGTCATAATCTTAAAACCAAATCACGATAACACAGCTCTCCACAAAAGGGATAATAAGTCATTTGTATGCTATCTTTCAAATAAACTAAATTGGCCATGGTTATGAAAGTCTGCATATAGCTTATTTTACCATTATTCAGTCTGAATATTTTGCCTCTGCACAAAAAGGCTTATTGAACTGGAATTAATGGCAATTAGTGGCAGTCTACTTACTCTCCTGTGGGTCATTTTTAATCTAAGTAGACACCTACTGTCTTAAAAGACTTCATTTTTAGTGCTTCCCCCAAGACATGTAGAAAAAAGTTTGTGTTTCATGTTCACATTTCAGTGTTATATAATGCTATTATTATAAAGTATACAATTTATTCATAAATAATGAAAGAAATAAAAATGTTAAACTTAATCATCTCACCTTGGTAGCACATTATGAAGAATGTATCAATAGTGGCAAAAATAAAAAAAAGCAAACCTTGTGGTTCATTAAATTTCATGCTGAGCCACTGGTTCCCTGGCAGTGTTTCTTTACCCAAGCACATATTTTATTTATTTCAGAATGTTGTATGATAGTCAGGCCTCTTGGTACTGCATGTACCTCGAGGGCCAGTGAACAGTACACCCGATTTAAACCTGGATAGGAAATGACTCTGGCCCATGTTCAGGGAACACTTTGATATATGTGCTTTCTTGTTAAAGATTTAAAACTCTACACTGTTAAGTTTGCTGTACATTTTGGGATATTAAGGGAATTTAAATCAAATGCTTTCACTCTCAGAGTTTCTGGGTTTAAGGAGAGTTCAGGCAAGGAGTCTCCCACAGCTTAGTTATTTTGGTTAAAATTTTGTCACTCCCTTTAAGAGGGAAGTGATTAATATTACAACGGCGATCAATACAAGCGTAACTTATCCTAAACACCAGGCGTCCTGGAAACAACTGACGACTAAGCACTTCAGCTAATGGCCCGTGCCTGCTGCGTAACTCTAATGTCAAGAACTCTCTGAAACTGCACAGTTCCAGTGCACTGTGAAAGAACTTGCACAAATTATTAGAATTGCTAATTTTAGGATTTTTTTATAATGTGAAAAAAAGTGATACTTATCATGACATATTTTAGTGCAGCAAAGCAATGGCCAGAGGATCATTTATCTTGTTTTTCTTTTGTTTTTTTGTTTTTCTCAGAGCCATACAAAATGAGATGATTTTTGATAATCTGCTCAACGTTTGGCTGTTTTCCAAGAGATCATTTGTACAGTTCATAATTTTTTTTAAGTTCATGAAATATCATGACATAGAGCACATTTGAACTTATACACAAATGTAATATAAATAAATATATTAGGTTTCCATACAGGATATGACATATATTGTCATATAAAAGTAAAAACGTGTATGAAACATATTAGAAATTGGAACAATTTCTTATATTAAGATGTATATCTAGCCCATGTGTAAAAATAAAACCCATCAATATATGTTGATATTATATAAATAATAATATAAAAGTAGTATAATATAATATAAAATAAATAATATAAAAGTACTACACTCTAAAAAATTAAAAAGCAACCCAACCGCTGGGTCAAAACAACCCAATAGCTGGGTTTGTCCCTTTTTAACCCAGCATTTTTTAGAGTGTAGTATAATATAAAAGTAAATATAAAAATAGACATGTATTTAAAAAAAATTACAAAAACATATATTAACATACATATATATATATATAAATATATTTAATAATATATAATATAAAGTTGCATATACATCATTTTATTCATCTATTGCTATGGATGTTTAAAAAAATAGCAGGTTGTGTTGATTTTCACATATGCCATGTATATGTTTCGTTTTTAAGAATTTGCATAATAAAATAAATAA